AATTAGATTAAATTATTAGTGCATTAAGAAAAAAAAACTAATTTTAATTTTCAAGAATTATTTACTACGTTATGTTAGAAATTTGAAGTTATTTTTTATTGTTTTTGGTGCCTCTAGTGATGTAATCAAAAAGAATTTTCAGAGTTTTTCAATTTTTACAAATGTAAAGGAATATAAGAATTTGTTATAATTTTTACCTATTATTATGTTTTTACTGATTTTGATGTTAATGTATTTTATAGTTATACTTTCTATTTGATGTTAAAATATTTTTACATTATCTTATATATTTAATAATGTTAAAAATCGATCAATCCGACTAAACCACACTGATTCGATTTAAATTGGATTAATTTGGTTATCACATAATAATAGATTGAATTAATTTAAAAATTTTATTAATCGATTAAATTAAATTGATTTAAAAAATAATAAAATCCAAATCAAATCACACTGTGAAGACCCTAACTCTGGGGGTTTGTATTCTGATTACCTGCTTGGTCTTAGGCCTTCCCCTTATCGTTCCACTTTAGGTTAAGTATTATTAGCTCAATAAAATTTTTTGATAGAAGCCCAATAAAAAAACCTTTTATTATTATAACAAAAAAGTTTGGGCTCAACTTCTTATGATCCATTCGGGATGGTTTCGGGCCGAATTATATGTATATGTTCATTTGGAGCCCAGTAAGAAGTCCATAAACTGTTAACCTCAAAAGTCATATGATCTTACCGTCAACTATCTGGTCAAAACGATGACTGTCAGAATTTCTCAGCGAAGACCCAAACATAAAGCTTTGCGCCTTTTGCCTCTGTGGATCATATTTCGTCTTCTGCAAGTCATTTCCATCCATCTTCTCTTGGATCAAATCAAGATACCAACATGCATTTTCTTCTCCAAAGTTCTGAATTAATCCAGAACCAATCTTCAATCTTTCTGGTAACCATTCCGCTTTCCCCATCAATCTTTATCCATCATAGCTTTCAAAGCTTCTTCAAAGTGGTACTACAGTTAATAATAATAATAATAAAAGTCTAACTAAACACCAGCAAATTAATTAAAGAAGGCAGGAGGAGACTACATTTAGGATTTGCATTACTGGGATAAAACCATCCAATAGAATCAATACATTGAAATCAAATCACTAACACCAAAATCACCCACACATTTGGTTTCCAGATTCAAACCTTTCTTACTGATCAAGTCCTGTTTCATCCAAAGATGCAATTTATTGATATTTCAAAGCAAACTATCTAATAATCCATAAGCAAACATTTGTTTCCTGAGTAAAGATAGGTACATATATTGCGACTTCAAGCATTCAGTCTTCTGCAATATAAAACACAGATTGAAATAAATAGTCTAGTGGCTCTTGGAAATTGAATACTATTAATACAAGTTCAACATGAATTTTAGATTTTGAAAAGGATTTAGGGAATGAAAGAAAGTTTTTGGGCACCGAACAATGTGGCAATTTAGCAGCATCAGCCCAGCTTACTGGAGAGCACCACTCGAACCCACAAGGACTATTGAGAAAAGCATGGTCAATGCAGATCTATGGAATAAGAGATAGCATTACGAAAGGAAAGCTACATGAGACAAGTGTAGACTGAGGGAAGTAGAAGACCCACTCACCATCTAGCTTGCCTTGAAGGCATCAGCCTCACACACCATATATAGTCTCACAATTCCTTGTTAACCCCGAGAAGACACAGGCATGATGTTCTTATCAGCTTCAGGAGGATTCTGTAACCATAAGAAAACAAATTGAAGATGAAGACAAAAAGGCTTATAACTAAAAATGGTTACACTGATTTGTGTAACAAAACGAATTTATTAAAATACCACAAATCTTGCAACATATTTAAATATGTTCATTTGGTAGTATCCATTTAGATCATGATTTGAAATGGGCTAGGTGTAGCTATAAGTCTAAAAAATGGGAAAAACAAAGTGGTAAAATTTGAATTTATGTTCATACTGTGGAGCAGGAAAGATAACAAATCAAGCATATAACAAATAAACATGCGACTTAAATATGGTGGGTATTAACTTTGTAAACTATTCTCTTAATTTTTGAGTAATAACATGCATTTCACTTTTAATCATAACTCGTAAACACCTCTTAGAAAAGGGAAACCGAGCTACAAAAAATTTATTAAGTTGAATCAAGGCGATTTAAGGAGTCTTGCAACAAGGTCTACAAGTGGGAGGTGGTTATCATTTACAAGCTAGGAATTGCAATATACATACTTCATCATGCCATTGAGACTAGAAGTGTGAGGATAATTTGTTCTAAAGTTTAGAAAGGCAAGTTAAATAAAGAAAAAGCACCTGTTTAGTGAAGAGGGGGCTTCAGTCAACCATGGCATCCATGCTTGTACTTGTAACAATGGGTACCTCCAATTTTGGGCAGTTCTCTATAGCCAATTGCATCTTGGATGGGAATTCAATCAAAAAATTTCCTGAGTAGAATTTGACAAGATTTTCAAGGTCTTTTAACTCTAAGAAGTTTAGCTGAGGGAAAGAAATTGAATTCTCCATGTCTTCTACATTATCCGTGGCAATGATCTCTCTTATATTCTTACACTTCTGTATTTTGAGGTGCCTAAGCATCTTCAAGCCTCTAGCCATAGAGGATGAAAGTAACAGCTCTAAGTTATCACAGCCCTCAATGGTAAGTTCAGTAAGGTTCATAATGCAATGGGCCGTTGCAGAGATGTGCCATATCATTTTAATTTCAATTGACCTTAGTTCCAACTTCACAAGGTTGGGAAAGACAACCTGCATATTAAGTAATTCTTTTGGTTAGCAAACCATAAATCTTATATACCATTTTGGTGGCAATAAGTAAACACAATTATTGGTTACTATTAATTAGATTACAAGGAACACAATTAATGATAAATCATTGTAATTTTTTCAATACTTCTAACTTTCAATTCCTCCAGGTTTGGAAACATAACTTGCCCAACATGCAATTCTCCTGGTTTCTCAATCTTATCATTTAGAAGTTAATAAATAAAAGTAAACATAATTTGGTTATTATTAATTTGATTAAGAGGAACACAATTAGTGAAGCCTTAAGAGTATCATTTGCCTATTTTGATCTAAGCATTGATTCTTGTATAATTTGTAGAAGTTGGTGGGTATTGACTTTGTAAACTCTTCTGTTAATTTTTGAGTAATAACATGCATTTCACTTGTAACCATAACTTGTACACACCTCTTGGAAAAGGGAAACCTAACTACAAAAAATTTATTAAGTTGAATCATAATGATTTAAGGGAGTCTTGCAACAAGGTCAGCAAATTGGAGGTGGTTATCATTTTCGAGCTCGGAAATGCAATATACATTCTTCATCACACCATTGAGACTAGAAGTGTGAGGATAATTTGTTCTAAAGTTTAGAAAGACAAGTTAAAAAAAGAAAACGCACCTGTTTACTAAAGAGTGGGCTTTTGTCAACCATGGCATCCATGCTTGTACTTGTAACGATGGGTCCCTTCAATTTCGGGCAGTTCTCCATGGCCAATTGCATAAAGCATGGGAATTCAATCATACAATTTCCTGAGTAGATTTTGACAAGATTTTGAAGGTCTTTTAACTCTAAGAATCTTAGATTAGGAAAAGAAATTGAATTCTCCATGTCTTCTACATTCTCTGCGGCAATGATCTCTCTTATATTCTTACACTTCTGTATTTCAAGGCACCAAAGGTTCTTCAAGCCTCTTGCCATAGAAGATGAGAATAACAACTCTAAGTTATCACAGCCTTCAATGGTGAGTTTCCTAAGGTTCATAATGCAGTGAGCTGTTGCAGAGATGTGCCATATCATTTTAATTTCAATTGACCTTAGTTTCAACTCCTCAAGTTTGGGAAAGACAACCTGCACATTAAGTAATTCTTTTGGTTAGCGAACCCTAAATCTTATATATCGTTTTGGTGGCAATAAGTAAACATAATTATTGGTTATTATGAATTAGATTACACGTAACACAATTAGTGACAAATCATTGTAATTTTTTCAATCCTTCTCACTTTCAACTACTCCAAGTTTGGAAACATAACCTACCCAACATGCAATTCTTATGGTTACTAAATCTTATCATTAGAAGTCAATAAAGAAAAGTAAACATAATTTGGTTTTATTAATTTGATTATAAAGAACACAATCAGTGAAGCCTTAAGAGTAGCATTTGCTTATTTTGATTTAAGCATTGACTTTTGCATAATTTTGTAGAAGTTGGTGGTATTGACTTTGTAAACTCTTCTCTTAATTTTTGAGTAATAACATGCATTTCACTTCTAATCATAACTTGTACACACCTCTTGGAAAGGGCAAACCTCGCTACAAAAAATTTATTAAGTTGAATCAAGATGATTTAAGGGAGTCTTGCAACAAGGTTAGCAAGTTGGAGGTGGTTATCATTTCCAAGCTAGGAAATGCAATATATATACTTCATCACGCCATTGAGACTAGAAGTGTGAGGATAATTTGTTCTAAAGACTAGAAAGACAAGTTAAATAAAGAAAACGCACCTGTTTACTAAAGAGGGGGCTTCCATCAGCCATGGCATCCAGGCCTATACTTGTAACAATGGGTCCCTTCAATTTCGGACAGTTCTTTATGGCCAATTGCATCGAGCATGGGAATTCAATCATACAATTTCCTGAGTAGATTTTGACAAGATTTTGAAGGTCTTTTAACTTTAAGAATCTTAGCTTCGGAAAAGAAATTGAATTCTCCATGTCTTTTACATTCTCTGCGGCAATGATCTCTCTTATATTCTTACACTTCTGTATTTCAAGGTGCCAAAGGTTCTTCAAGCCTCTTGCCATAGAGGATGAGAATAACAGCTCTAAGTTATCACAGCCTTCAATGGTAAGTTCAGTAAGGTTCATAATGCAGTGAGCTGTTGCAGAGATGTGCCATATCATTTTAATTTCAATTGACCTTAGTTCCAACCTCTCAAGGTTGGGAAAGACAACCTGCACATTAAGTAATTCTTTTGGTTAGCAAACCCTAAATCTTATATATCGTTTTGGTGGCAATAAGTAAACATAACTATCGCTTATTACTAATTAGATTACATGGAACACAATTAGTGACAAATCATTGTGATTATTTCGATCCTTCTCACTTTCAACTACTCCAATTTTGGAAACATAACCTACCCAACATGCAATTCTTATAGTTACTAAATCTTATCATTAGAAGTCAATAAAGAAAAGTAAACATAATTTGGTCATTATTAATTTGATTACAAGGAACACAATCAGTGAAGCCTTAAAAGTATCATTTGCCTATTTTGATCTAAGTATTGATTTTTGCATAATTTTGTAGAAGTTGGTGGGTATTGACTTCGTAAACCCTTCTCTTAATTTTTGAGTAATAACATCCATTTACCTTCTAATCATAACTTGTACACTCTTCTTAGAAAAGGCAAACCCCGCTACAAAAAATTTATTAAGTTGAATCAAGATGATTTAAGAGAGCCTTGCAACAAGGTTAGCAAGTTGGAGGTGGTTATCATTTCCAAGCTAGGAAATGCAATATACATACTTCATCATGCAATTAAGACTAGAAGTGTAAGGATAATTTGTTCTAAAGATTAGAAAGACAAGTTAAATAAAGAAAACGCACCTGTTTACTAAAGAGTGGGCTTCCATCAGCCATGGCATCCATGCTTGTACTTGTAACAATGGGTACCTTCAATTTTGAGCAGTTCTCTATGGCCAATTGCTCCAAGGATGGGAATTCAATCATCCAATTTCTTGAGTAGATTTTGACAAGATTTTGAAGGTCTTTTAACTCTAAGAACGTTAGCTTAGGAAAAGAAATTGAATTCTCCATGTCTTCTACATTTTCTGTGGCAATGATCTCTCTTATATTCTTACACTTCTGTATTTTCAGGTGC